TCCGCACAGGTGAAAAGACACCACCCTATGGCATGCAGTTTCATTCTAAAACCTGCCTAAATGATGTTCTTTTCAGCAAGTAACAAATCTTGGTCAACCTCTAGCATGGTTCAAACTAACACATACAATCGTCTGATATGCAAGAAAAATACATTTGCATTTGATTAAAAGAGTCAAAAAATATAACCATTTCAACATATTAAAATTTTGATTTGTTTGCCTTTTCGAAACTTATCAATTTGCAACATAGTAAAATGTAGTATTTTCTATCCCACTCATTCAGTAACAAATATTGATAGACAATTTTGTGTATAAGTTTACGCAACGTGGGTGGTTCTACTCAGGTGCCCGTTTGTGCCTGAAATAATGCACGGAAGGGCACCTGAGGTCTTCATCTTGTAGTAAAGTTGGACATCGCCATATGACCTATACTGTGTTGGTGCGACGTAAAACCCAATCAAACAACAAACTTAATATTGCGTCTAATATTTACTAGTTTTATATGCTAGAAAGATATGTGTAAAAATTCATGAAGAAGGGAAAAGAAATAGAGAAAGTGTAAACAGATTTGCCGTTTAAATTTTAAGCATTTTAAAATTGAATTATACTTATACATTGTATTCTCATATGTCACAATTAGTGCATTGTCTATACAGCAATGACTCTGAAATTTAGGATAGATGTTAGTCTTTTTAGTAGTCAAAAATAAGGTTATATTAAGTTACTTGCATTATTTAATTTTACCTATGAAATATGGTGCTATATCAGTCAAATATATTTCATATTTTTTAAAAATAAATATGAAATATAAATATGAATGTGGGCGGAGTCAAAACTCATATTTATTTGAAGGGACTTCTTTCGCCATTTTGTTTGAAAAATCTGATAAATACAAACAACTTTTTTGTTGAATTTTGTTTTGAAAACTATCTAGAATGATAGAAAATGGTCTAACTAAGAAAATAAATCCGAACACCAACATCTTTAATTCAGTCATTAACGCTGTACAGACGTTTAAAAAGTTGTTTACGTGACGTCACAATCTAGCGCTAAATATCGCGTGCAAAACAAGACGATACTTACATTACTGCGCGCTGTATAATTGCAGTTGCGTAGCAGGCAAGGGGGTTCATAACCATTTTTCTTTGATAATGAAATTAAATAAAAAGGTTATTTTTCGTTTTTCGTGAAATATGGTATATATTTTCACTCAACATGATAAAATGCCTCATATTTTCACTCGCCGTCCCGGCTCGTGAAAATATGTGGCTTTTTATCATGTTTCGTGAAAATATATCCCATATTTCACTCAAACGAAAAAATATCCTCTTAGTATTTTGAAATTTAAATAAAATAATCACCCACTTAAAATACACTTTATCTCAAAAAATGTAATTAAATGAAAATGTTTAATGTTAGATTTTGAATTTAACAAGAGCCACCGCCAAAATTCTATACTTTGGTCAAGGTCATTAAAAGGTCAAGGTAAGTTCAACCTTTTAGAAGGTCTTGTCCAAAAGGTTGTTTTGTCCAAGTATGAAATAATCCATTGATTAATTACCAAGTTACAGCCGATTATTTGATAATCTGTAAATATTCAATAATTTTTCTTCAAGATCAAGGTCATTCATGAGTTAAAGTCAATTTTAGTTTAATACACATAAAGGTGTGTTAAATGTCTGGAAATCAATTTATAAATAACAAACGTGTATCCAGTTACAAAACCAAGAATGAAACAAGAGAATTTCATTAATTTGACATTGACAGTCATGGTCAACTTAAGGTCAAGGTCACATCTTAATCATTAAATATATATATCGGTTACAAGTTGTGTATAAATCAAATCCGTACATAAATAACAAGATTATGACAATTTAACAAAAGTATAATAATTTTACTTTCACAGTCAAGGTAATATAAAGGTCAAGGTCAAAGTCAGTTCCATCTTTTATAAGATCTTGTCCAAAATGTTGTTTTGTCAATGTATGAAGATTATCCATAAATTAATTACTAAGTTACAGTCAATTGTAGCAAAAATCAGTGGAAATTCAATAATTTTACCTTTAAGGTCAATATCATAAAAAGCCAAGTAAAGGTCTATTTAAATCTATACATGAAAGTCTTATCCTAAAGAATGTTGTGTTATAATATGAAGTAAATCCATTTATTATCAACAAAGTTATAGCCAGTTACAGCCATACACCCCCCAACCCCCCCCCCCCAAAAAAAAAAAAAATAAATAAATGAAAATAAAAAGAAATGAATAAAAAAAGATGAGAATTTCTATAATTTGACCTTCAAGGTCAAGGTCATTTATAAGTGAAGATCAAAGGTCTGTCTGGTAAACTAGAAGGTCTATTCTAAAAATAGTATTATGTTCAAGTTTGAAGACAATCCATAAGAAATTAACAAAGTTATCTAATAGCAAACATCAGCAAAAAAAAGAAGCAATATTCGACATTTGACCTTGGAGGTCAAGGTCATTTATAAATGAAGGTGAAGGTTAGTCTTGTCTAGTAAAAGGTTTTGCCCCTAGGTTGTTGTGGCTAAGTATGAAAACAATACATAAAGAAGTTTAAAAGTAATGATCACAGTTAAAGTTTGCTGACGGCAACGTCAACACCAACATGAATGTAACAATACCTCTATTTTTTAATTATTTTTTTTATTTTATCTAATTTTTTTATTATTCTTTTTTTAAGTCGAGCTTAACATGTTGTTTTCTTTAAAATCAGTCATTAAAATTTTTATTAAAAAGAGAGAAAAAAATAAGAAATTGTCTCAAGTATTTTTAAAAACACATTTTTTCGGATATTTTTCGTAATTATTTTCTGTTTTTATCATCAAAAAATATAATTACGTTTAAATACATATTAAAACTGCATTTTAGGAACACAATTGATACAAGAATGAAAAAAAAGAATATCTTGCTAAGTTTTAACTGCCATAATTCAAGTAATATAAAGTAAATTATTAAGAGGATATTTTTTCGTTTGAGTGAAATATGAAATACATTTTTGTATATATTTTCACGAAACATGATAAAATGCCTCATATTTTCACGAGCCGGGACGGCGAGTGAAAATATATGGCATTTTATCATGTTGAGTGAAAATATATACCATATTTCACGAAAAACGAAAAAATAACCTTTTTATTTAATTTCATTATCAAAGAAATATGGTAATGAACCCCATTGCTTGCTACGCAACTGCAGTTGTACAGCGCGCAGTAATATATTATTGTGTCTTGTTTTGCACGCGATATTTGGCGCTACATTGTGACGTCACGTAAACAACTCTTTAAACGTCTGTACAGCGTAATTAACTGCATGAATTATAGATATTGGTGTTCGGATTTATTTTCTTAGCTAGACCATTTTCTATCATTCTAGATAGTTTTCAAAGCAAAATTCAACAAAAAGTTGTTTTGTATTTATCAGATTTTTCAAACAAAATAGCAAAAGTAGTCCCTTAAAATAAGTTTAAAAGTAGTCCCTTAAAATAAGTTTTGACTCCGCCCACTTTCATATTTATATTTCATATTTATTTTTAAAAAATATGAAATTTATTTGACTGATATAGCACCATATTTCAGGGGTAAAATTAAATAAAATTTTCATATTTTGGCGGCCATCTTGGACGCCATCTTGGATTTCTTAGTCCGCCAGCACTTTCGAGGAAAATGAAATTCTATTTCGTAATCTCAACCGAACATTTTGGTATATATGAAACCCCCTGTTTATGATCGGGGACCAGTTAGGTGTTCCTAAGCTTAACAAATTTGCAGCACTATAATTAAATAGAGAAGCTCACATATTTTTAATACATTTTGACCTTTTGACGTTTCATTTTTGTTAAAATAGCAGTGAATCGCTTATGTGTAGGAATACGTTTTTAGAAGTGATGCACGTTGAGTGTGAGATAAGCCCATGTGAGATTAATAGAATCTACCATTGGGTTAGATAAAGGATAGGAAAATCCCAACCCGAGCATGATCGGTTCCGTCGGGAACGAGCCTTGTATTTCTCAGATTTTTCAAACAAAAGTTGTTTTGTATTTCTCAGATTTTTCAAACAAAATGGCAAAAGAAGTCACTTAAAATAAATATGAGTTTTTATACGAAAGCTAAAAGCTCGCCAAGATACACTTTCTCGCTCATCGGATTAACCTTCTCTATCCCGACATCAACAATGTATTCTCTATGACTCCGCCCACTTTCATACTTATATTTCATATTTATTTTTAAAAAATATGAAATATATTTGACTGATATAGAACCAGATTTCATGGGTAAAATTAAATAAAACGTTTATAATTGGTTATCTATTTTTATATTATTCTATTTTTATAGTAGCCTCCTTTCTTTTATTTCTACTTGTAATAGTTCATATGTAAATCTTTCAATAATACTGACAATACCGTATATAATTAATTAAAGAACAAGTATAATAGGAACCCCCTAAATAAATACTGTAAAAAAGAACGTGTCCTACTCTGAAGCGACATCAATATCAAAAGGCTTATAAATTAATTTCTATGTTTACAAAAAAATTTTTTTTAGCTAACAGAAATTATTATGTCATTGTTATACATTTTTATATAAATCGAAAACTAAGAAATAGCATGTGCAAGTTAACCAGTTTTTCTCCGGCCGAGTATCTTTTTTAAAAGATATATCTCGTTTACATTCAAATCGTTCGAGCATTTTTATAACATTTGTTTCAATGATCCAGTTACGTAAAACAGTTCCATGTATTTTTGAAATTGCTTTCAGATGAAAAAACTATTTACGCCACCTCCCCCAGTTAACACGTTAATTTTCTTTTTGCATTCGAGGGGTATTTTATCCCTTGCATTGAGAGATTCCTATAGATCTTGAAATTTTTTGTTTGATATATATCTCCAATTACACGTTTCCTGCACAAAACAGTCGGAAGGTTTACATTCAGAACTTTCAGAACTGTTACTATAGCAACAAAGTGCTTCTATTTTTAGCCTACCCACATAAACGAAATTTGTGTGCGTGGGATGCAGAGTTAGTTTGCGATAGCACACGAATTATTTATGTTTACAGAAATATGGGTTTTAACACAACATCAGTTTGGATTAAGGTGGCATTTATATGCTTGCTTTTAGCACTTGTTTTGTTCGTGATCGGATTTGCAACAATATCATGGATGACTTCTTACAACTATGCTCTCGGATTATGGAAGACTAAGTCATGTTATAATACTATACGGCATTATGATGGCCGATGCCGTACTTCTTCGATTACCAGCGCATGGTTGAAACTCGCAGGATGGGAAGGTATGTTGTGTGTGAATGTTAAATGTATGTTATGCAACGGGACGTATGTTTAACCCATCCTACTCTCTCATGCGCAACTCCTAATAAATAACGGGCATTTTTATTATAATAAACTTCCGGTAAATGTTTCTGCGGAAATCCGGTGTGAAAAATCACAGCAATACAATTTGGACAAATCGGAATGCATTCCGACTGTACATGTCATTCAAATTTTTATATATAATACTTGTACTCGCGTAAATTTAATTCAAAATTAAAGGCCTGGGAACAAGTATAAAAGGCAGGCAAGCAGAAAAATGGCCACTGCTGTTGAACTCTGTATGCTGTCTGCTAGCATAATCAGAGAGAGATAGAAAAATGAAATTTCAAAATTTAGAGAGACATACCTCATATTATTTGCTATAAATTGGCACATCACTTCTTTATCATGTAAGCAACATTCCTTGAAAGTTACATATCTCTGTGATACTTAGAAGTACTACTTTAAAAAAAACTTTTTTTGAAAACAGTTAAAAATTCAAAATTCCCTGTGTATTTGATTGACAGTTGTACAGAGGTTATGACCTTTCTCTCAGCCAACTACATCTCTCTAGGTATAAACTGACAGATGGCGGGGAAATAAATACTAGGGCAATAAATACTACCAGAGAAATACTACGCAAGCAATGAACTTGAATTTTTATTTATTGATTGTGTTATATTCCATCCCTACAATCATGAATTTATTAACTTGAAATGACATCACTATAAGTTAATTGTTGATATATTGATTGTTCTGTAAAAGAAACAATATACATTGTATTCAAACTAATGGATCATAAGTGATTTGTACATATTATGTGAAAATAACAATAGGTTTTGTGTACACTGTTTCCTAATAGAATTCGTTGAAAGTGAAAATGAAACAAACATTTAATTTTTTTAACTTTACTTTTCATAACCATAATTTAGTTCACCAGAATTCATAAAAAAAAAAGTTTTGTTTCCCAAAAAAATAAAAAAGTCAAGTGGACAAACAGATAAATCTAAGTTACATTTTTTTCTATATACAAGGCATTTCTAAACAATTAGTATTTACTGTTTGTATATACTGACTATCACCGATTTCATAAATTATACTCTTCATTGTAAAAATATGTAATTGCAATATACATCCTGACAGCACTGCTATTATACCTTTTCATCAAATTGCAAAATCATTACACCCCAATAAATACACAACTTTTTTATCTCTCCTGAATGCTGAACTCACCTATACTATATTTACAAGCATGCTGACCTCAGGTCATGATAATAAAACCCCGCCTCTTGTAACTAATATGCTTAATGGCCATCCGTACGGATATCTGAGTTCACATTCCCCGGCCTTTAAATGTGGATAGGAAATCACAATCGGGTAGCACGAGATGCAGGTCAAACTCCGCCTTGAATGCTACATAAATAGACTGCTATATTTTTTATTACTTTGGTCCCTACAAAAATCAAAGCACTGAAAGTACTGAAGTAAACATTGCTTGATAATATAACCCATTTTGTCATCAAGGCCATGTTGATTTTAACCAACTGACCTCAAAAACAATAGGGGTCATCTTCTGACCAAGGTCAATGTGACTAACAAGTGACTCACACCAAGGCTTTTTTCTTCCAAAGTTATTTATGAGAGAGGAAGATGTGATGTTCCATCTGTGTATTGCTAGGCAAGCTGATAGATGAGCAATAAAGAAATCATTTTTGAAACACAAATGGACTGCAGTATAGAATATTGAAACAGTAATATTAAGTCTTCAGTGATGCTATCTAATAGAAGACATGACTTGACTTGAACTGTATACAAATTCAATTAATTGAATCATCCTAAAAAACTTAATTACCAAATTATAGTACATCCTTTAGTATAGCTTTCCATGTTACAGATCTATGTACTGTACTTTGATGCATTAATACATATATTCTGGTGTGTTGTATTCATCTCTACACATTAATTTTTAAAATGCATTACTTTATCGTTTAATAATTAAAATGAAATCTATAATCAAATCAATGAAAATGTACTGCAATATTTTCATTATTCAATAATAATTGTTACATATAGTCCTTATATACAACCTTTCCAAGAAATTCATTTATATTGAACAGCAAGTTAACAAGGTTTTTTTTCCATAATCAGGCTGTGTTACCAACTTCTAAACTTTAGATGAACCACTGACAATATTGAGCTAAAACATTTTTCTATTTTTTTTTTGGCTACTGTGACCTACTTCTGACTTTAAAGGTGATCCATGTTCAAACTTGAGTTTAACCTGTCACACACATTCTTACGATCTTGTGTGGCAATTGGGGCAAAAGTGTGACCAGTAGAGGGTTAACAAACTAAATCACCAGTAGAGTGTTAACTAAATGTCATCGTCGGATACACATGGTTGATTTAACAAGACATAAATGATAAATGTAAATGGTGAGGGCCTCCGTCGCCGAGTGGTTAAGGTCGCTGACTTGAGATCACAGGTCCCTCACCGCTGTAGGTTCGATCCTCACTCGGGTCGAAATCTTTCATTTGAGGAAGCCATCCAGCTGGCTTACGGAAGGTACCCAGGTGTCCGCTCGTGCCTGAAATAATGCCCGGAGGTGCACCTTGGGTCTTCCTCCACCAATAAAGCTAGAAAAATCGACGAAAAAATCTCGGCTGGACGCTCTAGGATGGTCCGACTTGAGTGTACGGTCGCCTATGGGCTTTACGGCGGCGACCTTAAATAAACGCAATTAAAAAAATGTAAATGGTTCGGCCGTGGGTATCCGACGACAGACCACAGCTGACATAAGATGGATGGCCGACATTCAACAATACTAAAAGCTCACCCTGAGCCAACCTATAAGTTTCACGACAGAAATGAATAATAAGATAATAAAAATGAATACTGCGTAATGATTTAGATGATGTGTAGCCATTATATCAGCAATAAATTATTGCTTTTCTAAAGCCGCCTCGCGACAAAACCAACATAATGGGTTTGCGACCAGTGTGGATCCAGACCAGCCTGCGCATCCGCACAGTCTGATCAAGATCCATGCTATTCGCTTACCAACTCTATTAAAAGTAGAGAAACTGATAGCGAACAGCATGGATCCTGATCATACTGCGCGGATGCGCAGGCTGGCCTGGATCCATGCAGGTCGCAAACGCACTATGTTGGTTTTGTCGTGACGCGGCTCATATGTACGTACGTTCATATAGCATAAATATAAAACGACTGCTAGATTATTTTTTTACTATAAACAAATAAAAAGTAAAAGTTTATTATGTAAACGATTGAAAAGTCTAAATTTATGGGTATTTTTATTCATATACCTTTTTTATCGCGCGTCAAATGTTTTTCAGCTTTCCCATGTTTTTAATGCTGACTGTTACATAGCCGAATGAAAGTTTTTCATAGTGTATTTTTTACAAAAAATAACTGACATTTAACAAAGGTAATGAAATTTATTTAGCAGCACTTTTTTTAAATATATCTATTTTATTGCAAGTAAAATGTGTTTATTTGTTTGTTTGTTTTGGCTTTTCTACGTTTTTGACGCTAGGCAGTAACATAGCCGAAAAACACTTTCATACAATGTTTATTACAAAAATATTACTAATATTTTACATTGCTAACAAATAAATTATATAATGTTATAATCATTCATTTAGACGGTTGAAAAAATTATTTAACAGTTCTTATTTTAAATATGTCCATTTCATCGCCCGTAAAATGTGTTTTTTTGGCTATTCCATGTTTTTGACGCTAGGCCGTTACGTAGCCGAAAAACACTTTCATACTGTATTTATAAAAAAAATAATATCACTGACATTTTCCATTGGTAACAAAAAAGTGTAATAGTTATTTATTTAAAAGGTTGAAAAATTAATAGCGGTTCTTGTTTTAACTACGACTATTTTATCGCCCGTAAAAATGTTTTTTTTTGGCTTTTCCAGACTAGACTGTTACGTTGCCGAATAACACTTTCATATCGCATTAAATACAGATATATTATCGATTTAAAACTGATATTATTGAACCCATTTCATCAAATAACCATCAAAAATTGTTTTAAAATCACAAAATCACAGCCTTAATATTTCTTTGTATTTTAAGTGTTTTTCGGTATTTTTGGTGGGTTTTTTTTTTCGGGGTTTTTCGGCAATTTCATGTACCCATTAATATTCTGAACATAAATTTTATGTATTTATTTCTTAATGCTTAGACTGATTTACAGTTAGTTTCAAATGATTATTTCTTATCATCGAATCCGGTCACAGATGCCTATATTTAGCTCCATGTTCTGGCTTAATCGTCAATATCCCAAGTTCGACGAATTGTTATGGGTCGAATGGTCGAGTGGCCGAATCTTTATTTTACCCATACTGAATATCAGGCAATATACGCAGAATTTCGAAACATATTTCTTTTCAAAATTCTAAGGCATACAAAAGTGAAAGAAAAAACATGTGTAAAAAAAGGTATTCAAAAGAATAGCTTACGAAATTTCTATTTTTCGAAGCCACGATAATTGCCAGGTTTTTTTTTTAAACAACAACAACAAACATTTTCCGGTATACGCAGGTAAATTTTGTTAAGGAGCTCCATACTCATTTTGTAAAACATTTTAGGCCAATTTTATTGCATAAATGTAAATCAGGAATTTTATTTGATTAAATATCTATTTAAGATGTTTCGTCCAAATATATATTTCTGACGACATTACTATATAATTTACGATGCATTCATTCATACTAGCAAGCGCATGCGTACATGCGAAGTTTAACGCGTAGGTATAAACTACGATTTTATCAATGAACGGTTATTTTTTGTTTTCTTTAAAGGAATGTAGATTCTATTATTTCATGAAAATGAACGATTTGGAACTTCCAAAGCATTAAAACAACTTTGCAAAATATATTTTAATGATGTGTAGTCGGAATGTAACGCTACTGTAGAATGAAGAACTAGTTTCTTTAGCGGTTTTTATCCAGGAGTGGATGTTGTTCGGTAACGACTTAACCTGTAACGACTGCGGATTATAACTCAAGCAATGTATACAAAAACATACCTGTACGAAATTTTGGCAAGAATTCTGGACGGAATTGGGACAGATTTGGCACGGAATCAGTGATTTCTGGTCTGACCATCGACGGAAATCATATTTCGTGTCATTCCGTCTCACAACGAAAATATTTTGTTGACTTTTGGGCAGAATACTAGAAAAAATCCGGTTAAAATTTTACACTTTGACATTTCATCTTGGACAGAATTTTCAACTTAGAAATGTTTTTGGGACAGTGGGCAAAATTCTGTAAATTAACATTTTTCTTGAACAGAATTTCATAAATGAATTGTCCATAGCATAACTCTACTCTTGAGACATTGAAATATAAATGTGTTTTACCTCCTGTACGTCTTACAGACCTATTTTTGTATATTTGACCAAGAAATACAAGTGTATTTTTAGAATTTGCAGGTTTTTGAGAGATTTAGGCCTGTTTTTTTATTGTGACAAATGTAATAGTGAAAAAAAATACTAATTGATCAGATTTTCTTTTTTGTAATGCAAACATACTTTAAGTGTAGAGTATGAAATCTGAAAACATTCACTTCCAAAATGCTTTAGGCTATATTATAACGATTTTTAATACAGCTTGTATAAATTGTAACTTCCGATATTATTTTAGGACAATATCACGGGGGAGGAAGTGTTACACGAAGGATGGAGTTCTTATGATAACTTGTTTGGAGTTCTTATGATAACTAGTACGGAGTTCCTGAAAAATGTTACGGATTTCTGTGGAAAACTTTTCTATATACTTGGAGAACTCGCCTAAAAAATGGTTATTTTTAACTTTAAATGGGGAGTTTGAGGTGCTAAATTAAACTTTGATAATTAAGCTTGCCCTACATATTGTATTTTGTTTCAGAAAAAAATCTTTTAGTCCATATTTTGTCGCCTTTTTTAAAAAATCTGCAAGTTTTGAGAAAAATTACCAAATTACTTGTTAATTCGTACATATTGACCTTTTCATTTGTGATCTTCTTCGTTGCTATACTTAAATACCTAATTATTATGGAGAGCTGCAAACATAAAGCCCGGGCTAATAGATTTTATACCGATTTTTCAAATGTTACGGAGTTCTTGCGATAACTCAAAATATGTCCTGGAGTTCTTATGATAACTTTTGTTACCGCTGATGTGCTTCTTGCGCTAAGTAAGGGCACGTCTTAGCGCATTTTATTATTCAATAAGTGTGTAAATCATTATGAAGCATACTACGCTTATCATTTGCACAAAAATTTGGTTACATAACGTTGGTTTTGATCGTGTTTTTCAGTTCAAGAGATATTTTTCTTACCTCCGTTTCTTGTGTTTTTTTGTGTTTGTTTTGGTCTTTTTGTGTGTGTGTGTTTTTTATATTTTATTGGAATGACTGTAAACATACTTGATTTAGAGCATTTACTTACAGGATAAAAATACGCTTTGAATCATGATTTCGTCATATATACATTATTCCTGGCAGTTTTAGAGAACATTAAGTAACTATGCTATCGGTATGCATGTAAATGGTTTTCAGCAAAATAGGAGGTAGTATGCACTACCTTTATCTAAATTTAATGAGGTGATTTTGGTAATTTTTCTCAAAACATGCAGATTTTTTTTAAAAAGGCGACAAAATATGGACTAAAAGATTTTTTCTGAAACAAAATACAATATGTAGGGCAAGCTTAATTATCAAAGTTTAATTTAGCACCTCAAACCCATTTAAAGTTAAAAATAACCATTTTTAGGCGAGTTCTCTAAGTATATAGAAAAGTTTTCCACAGAAATCCGTAACATTTTCCAGGAACTCCGTGACAGTTATCATAAGAACTCCAAACAAGTTATCATAAGAACTCCATCCTTCGTGTAACACTTCCTCCCCCGTGAATATCGGAAAGCAACATTGAAATAAGAATGCTGTGTATACATTTGAATTTACTATAGAATATAGTACAGTTTACAGTACAAGAAAGTGTGCTTGCCATTTTAAATACAAAAAAGTGTATGATATAAACTCGAATATTATGCCCTATTAAATTATATAAATTTATATATAATTGATTAATTAATTTGCCTGATAATTGATAATTTCTTGATCAACAAGGTCAAGTTAAAGAAATTCTCTTTTTTTCCTCTATAGCTATGATATTTAGACCATGTGCAGTTTTAGATGAAAAATTTAACTTTAGATGATTTGACGAAAACACCTACTTTTCATGTCATTTGTTGTTCAGCTACTACATTTAAATCATGTGCACAGTTTAAGCTGTAAAATTGAACTTTGATATCAGCTGACCTAGATAATTTGATAAAGTGATCTACTTTTTTTGTCACTTGATATACAGCAATGAAAATTGACCATGTGCACAGTTTTAGATGTAAAATTGAACTTTGATGTTAGCTGACCTAGATAATTTGAAAAAAGTGACCTACTTTGATGTGCAGCTATGGAATTTGGACGTGTACCCTGAGCACAGTTTTAGATGTTAAATTGAACTTTGATATCAGCTGACCTAGATAATATGACGAAATGACCTACTTTCTTGTCCTTTGATGTACAGTTATGAAATTTGGACAATGTGTTTAAGATTAAAAACGGAACTAACAGATCACCTGACCTAGATATTTTGACGAAGTGACCCACTTTCTTGTACAGCGATGAAAATCAGACCATTTGCAGTTTTAGATGTAAAACTGATCATTGAACATTATGGTAATTATTCATACTGTGACAAAACAGCAAGTGACCAACGTAATCAAATTAAAAAATAGGCAAACAAATCTTTTTAAAGATTTGTTTAAACTTTTGTTTCCGTTTAGAAAGAGTAAAAAATAATTCTATTATACGCTGCTGCTGATAATTAATGTTTTTGTTGTTGTTGTTGTTTTTATGCCACCGCAGCATCTGCGATGCGGTGGCATATAGCGATTAACCTGTGTGTGTTTGAATGCGCGTGCGCGTGCGTGTGCGTGTGAGTGTGCGTGTGTTTTCTATAGATTATATAGTGAACTTAAAAAATCTTCTTGTGAAAAAACACTAGTGTAATTACAACCAAACTTGGCAGGATTGATCTTTGGGCAAAGGGCTTCCAAAGATGTTCAAAGAATTTCATTCCATGCAGAAATATGGTTGCCATGGCAACCAAAAGGAATTGTAAGAATAGAATAAATTCAAAAAATCTTCTTGTAAACACCCACAAGGCCTAGAGCATAGATAGTTTGCATAAGGCATTGCTTGGTCGACCTCTACCTAGATTTTCAAATTACAGCCCTGGGGTCAAAAATGGCCCCGCTCCGGGAGACATTGATTTTCATTATATGTACACATAGTAAAAACTTAAAATACCTTCTTATCTAAAGGTACAAGGCTTAGAGCTTTGATATTTGGTATATGATATAATCTATTGGTACTCTACCAAAGTTGTTCAAATTTTGCCTCTTGTGTCATAATTAGCCCTGCCCCAGGGATCATAGATTTTCCTTATATGTATATAGTAAAAACTTTTTAAAAATCGTCTTCTCTAAATTGACAAAGGCTTGATGTGAGAGATTTTGTATGAAACTTTGTCTAGTGAACGTCTAGCAAAATTGTTCAAATTATAGCCCCGGGGTCAAAATTGGCCCGGCCCCGGGGATCATTAATTTTCAGTCACAATGTACATATAGTAAAAAAAATAAAAAATCTTCTTGTCTTAAGGTGCAGGGCTTAGAGCTTTGATATTTTGTATATAATATCATCTATGGGTTCTCTACCAAAGTTGTTTAAATTATGTCCCTAGTGTTTAAATTGCTTTGCCCAAAAGGTGAAAGTTTTCCTTATATGTATAAAGTAAAATTTTAAAAATTCTCTTCTCTGAATTGACAAAGGCTAGAGGTTAGATATTTGGCATGAGACTTTGTGTAGTGAACATCTACCAAGATTGTTAAATTATAGAATATGATAAAATATATGATATACAAGATCAGCAAGGAAAGCAACCGGTTATAGCCCTGGTGTCAAAATTAGCCATTGATTTTTACTCTATGTAAATATAGTAAAAAAAAATCTTCTTGTCTGAAGGTACAAGGCTTACAGCGTCGATGTTTGCTTTATAATATCATCCATAGGTCCTCTACCAAAGTTGTTCAAATTTTGCCCTTGGTGTTAAAATTGGCCCTGCCAAGGGGCATTGATTTTCATTATGTACACATAAAAAACAGAAACTAAAACAAATGTTTTCTGAATGGGAGCAAGCTACAGCTTAGATATTTTACATGAAATGTTGTTTGGTGGACCTGTATTAAGATTGCTTGAATTAAACTCTTTATGTGCACAGTTCTAGTTGTAAAATTGAACTTTGATATCAGGTGACACTCTAAACTCTCTAATTAAATATATTTTAATATGAGAAATGTACAGATATAATATCTAATGAATACCATTGTTTTCACAGACTGGTTCCGGGCAACACAAGCGTTCGAGTGCATTGGGCTGATATGTCTTGGAATGGCTCTTCTGATCATGTTCCTGTTTGTGTTTGTGGATAGTATGAAGAAGCGTTCGCCGCTGTTGGCAGTTATCTTCTTTTGTTTTGGGGCAGGTGGGTAAATATACGTCGTACATTGCATGGAGCGAGTAAAACAAGTAATATGATCGATTTAGGGAGGAAAATTTACCAATAAGTTCATTGAGCAACTATTACTTTTATAACTAGCAGTTACATAAAAGATATTATTTCTGGTCTAAATCCTTCAGTAAATCCTATATTTTCCGAGAAAAGGAACCTGTTTCTCAGCCTGTTTCCTGAAAAAATATTACAATTGTTGACTTCTAACACTTTTTTCAAGCTTTACATATACATTGTAATATACAACTAAATGGTAGGGTGACAATTACGAAAAAATTAGCCTATTTATAGGGGCTACCCGGACCCATTTTTAACAAGACATGCCATATACCAAAATGTTCCCAAATATTTGTAGTTTTCAAATCTGCCGGCATAAATTGGCATAAATGGTGGCGAACAGAGAAATTCAAGATGTCGTCCAAGATGGCCGCCAAAATTATGCAAAGTATTACTAAGTCACTATTGCTTAATTTTAAGCAGTTAAAAAAGATGCTTTTGATCTTTTATTGCATTCCTGTATCAAATTGATGTCAGGAATGAAGTTGTATTACTTTTAATGTAAAAGTGTTGTTCATGGTAAAAAGCAGATAACATGAGACAAACATTTGTCTTTATCACAAAATTAATCGTAAATACCTTTATATTAAACTTATTTATTAAACAGCTTTATAAGCTTTATTATTATTATTATCAAATGAAGCAATTGTGGAATAGAATAGGCAAGAATTGTAAACATTTTGAAGAGAAAATTGTTTGAATTAAAGAAACACCTATACTTTAGTTCGACTATTCGTAGAATATTCGAGATTATGCAAACCCATTTATTGGCGTCGGCGTTAAGTTTTTAACATGTAAGCTGGTTTCTCCATAACTTAATAAGTGAATGGATTGAAATTGTTCTTTTCTCTGTGATACTATAACATGATTGACACAAGTCCCATAACTCTGATTTGTTTTTTGTGTGCAAATTTATGCCCTTTTTTGCGTGTAAGCTGGTATCTGCATAACTACTGAAGGGAATGGATTGACACTTCACACACTTGTTCTCTGTGACTTTCATACGTGATTGGCATAACTCTGATTTGCTTTGTTTGCAAATTAATGTCCCTTTTCAATTTACAAAATTTTGGATAAATGTTTTCGTGGATGGCATTAGTATTTTACAAACAGCCCTTGTTTGACAATTTTATGGAAAATAATATGTTTCCCTCAATAAAACATCTTTTTGACAGGCTTTGTTTGTTATTGTGACAATTGAAATGCAATCATAATAATCAAGCAGTGAGTTACTCGATACAACATCTAAATAACAAGCCTTTGTACCTTTTTTGGACAATTTTATGTATTCATATAGGTAAGCAACATTATACTCAACGAAACAACATTGTGACAAAAGTTTTCGAATTGTCGAGCGTCATATAATCTATTTGAACTTTCTCACTTTCTTTTCATATACATGAACACTTGTGTACTTTTTGTATATCCTACCAGTAAACATACAACTTAATGAAGTAGATTGTTGCATTTCTTATGATGCTTCCTACAGTGATTTCTCAATTTACCATGTGCATGTGAGTGGGTGGGGAATAATGTATTTACTATTAAAATGTTGTTAATTTAAAGGATTTAAATATGACATAAATAACAAGCTGATATAATTATTTTTGCGTCATCGAATCAAATATATTTCAGATGTTTACGTTTACCGTAGGTAACAAAAGTTTTTCATGGTCAAAATAGGAAAACATAGTTAAAATATGGTGGCGTGACTTAAAATCTTAAATACGCTATAAAGACTGTAAACAATTGATCTGTGCAGTTTAATTGTAACAACAAATTATAAATTTGCTTTTTCATATTGAATGTACATGTACCTAAATTAACAGTTCAGAGATCCAATGCAATTCACTTTCAATGTAGAATACTTTTCTTCAACTCGGTCATATCAAATAAATTTAAACACAAATGAAAATTAGTTGAAATATTGCTAACTAATGATTATTCTTGAATTTCGGTACATTTTAGTATTTGGTCTTGTAAAATATAAATGAATCATTATCGTTTAACAGATGAGAAAATTTTACAGAAAAATGAACGCAAAACAAAAATGTTTCGTATAATGTTTTTTTTTTTTTTTATAGCAGACAACTACATTTAAATTTTGAATTTATATACCATGTGTTAAGTTTTGAAAACCTCATACTTTCAGTAACTTAATATAAGATAGAACACGACACGTTGCAAACGTTCGAGAATTGTCTTAAAAATTATCTTGAAAACAAATAAGATTTTGGTTATTATATTCCAATCAGCCATTTTTTGCACACAATCATGACATCAAAGTTGACCATCAAAGCCTGTTTTCAAATATGGCATTGCTGCGTATCCTTGGCAACTGTCGCGAGTACTATAATGCTACCGACTAACAAAATATAAATTTTATACGATTCAACAAAAAGAAAAAAAACTGAACATACAATATTCTCGATTACAGATGCAATAAAGATTTATTTTACATTTAATTGCAATGTATTTTCATTACTCAATTTATTCAAAACAGTCGCCATACATAAGTAGTTAAGCCGAATCTTTGCAATACATTGGGCTTACAAACAACATAGTAAGTAAAACAGACACAGTATATAACAAATTAAATTGAAGGAAACAAATAACCGTATAAGGCATTTAACATGTATTTTTTGAATCCACAATATAAATATTCCCTGGAAAGTGTTAAGAATGACAACCTGACTAAATTGAAGGCTAATTCTAAACGTTGATAATTGGTGTAAATATATAATATTATAATATTGTATGGAACGCCGTGACTGTCTTATGTGATCAATGTTTTAGCTATCTTGTCAAATGATGATATTATTTTGTCGTTTAAGCATGTTGAACCATGCTAACTTGTCAAATAATCATGATGACATGTGCAGACAGTATGTTAACTTTTCAAAGCATCGTGATGACTTGTTCAAACAGCATGTTAACTTGTCAAGTAATCATGATGACATGTGCAGACAACATGTTAACTTGTCAAAGTACCATGATGATTTGTACAAACAACATGTTAACTTGTCGAAGAATCATGATGACTTGTGCAAACAACATGTTAACTTGTCAAAATTTCATGATGACATGTGCAAACAGCATGTTAACTTGTCGAATTATCGTGATGACATGCTCATGATTCTTTGAAAAGTTAACATGTGTTTTGCACAAGTCATCACGATACTTTGACAAGTTAACATGTTGTCTGCACATGTCATCATGATAATTGGACATGTTAACATGCCATTTGCACATGTCATCATGATTATTTGACAAGTTAACATGCTATTTGAACAAGTCAGCATGATCATTTGACAAGACATGATGTGAATTGCACATTTTAACATGCTCAAACGACATAATAATACCATCGTTTCACAAGATATTAAAAACATTGATCACATAAGACAGTCATGGCGTTCCATACGAATGAATTGACTTTATTATCGATGGAGAACACATAAGAGCCGCATATTTACAAAGATCTACTCTCACTAGATGTCCCCTTGAGAATAATTTTAGCTTTATATACCCATTTACATAGATCTATTCTCACTAGCTGCCCCCCCCCCCCCCCTTTTAAATCCTTTATGTTATTTTACTTATTTTACAATGGCCAGTCACATTCAGAGATTTCAGATTGTAATTTTTAAATGAGCAATGAAATGTTTATATATATTCAGTTTGCCATCAATTTTACAGGTAGACATGGCCTCCGACCGAAAAAAAAGATATGTTTGCCACAAGAAACACACCGGGAAAAAATCTGTTTTAAATATTATGAGTCCCATATTTCTTCAAGGATTCATCTCAACTAAACTATTTTACCTATATTTCAGTCTAAGTCCGCTTTTTGCTTGTATTACTCGCTCGCAAGCGGAAGTTTTCACGGGAACTGGAGTGTATACGCGTGAAAGTGCACGTTTAAACAAACACAATCCGTCTATGTTAAAACAATCAATCAACTAGTACAAATGTTGCTGCAATGCAGCAATTGAGAAGCTCCGCGCGCAAAAATATGCGCTCATTACAGATACCTTACCAAATTATTCCTGCGCACAGGTCATTTTCTATTTAGATTAATTACAATGCAACAAGTTACGATGATCTAATAGACATCCGATGATTAGGTATTCTTATACACTTGTCAATGGTTAATTGGATTTTGCCAGAATTGTTCAAGTATATCATAGATGAATGGGCGGACGAAAGACATTGTTCATCTTGGACTTTGGTAGGCTCGCTAGAGATTAGAATATTAAATGTATTTTCTTTGGAACATACAAATCAGTAGTCAAAGTTAACAAAGTCTAGCTGTTTCTTTTATCATTATAATTGTAACAAATATGCAAACAGAATATAAAAATAGCAATTAAAGGGATTAATATAATCGTAGTACTACTTATTGCATGTATTTTTGTTTTCATGTCAAATTAAGAAAAATTAAAATGGTTTCTTTTAATACCTTGGAGTTAAGATACAGAAGCTATATTCTAAGTCCCAGATAAATACTGGAAGTAGAACACACACTGGAATGAAAAAGTTGGGATGAAAGTTCAAAAAGACCAAATTCAGGATTTTTTGTTATTCGTACGCGTTAACAAAAATAATGGTACATTAAAAATCATGAAAAAAATTTCCATGGCACGTTGATACATGTACATTATTTATCAATGGAAATAAATTTCCATGAATAAATTTCCATGGCACGTTGATACATGTACATTATTTATCAATGGAAGACTGTTACCTGAATTTTATACAATATATCATGTAACATGGTTATGTTTACACATGAAAAATATATTGATTGCACAATAATACAAACTAAGTAGAACTAAGCAGGAATTGTATTTGAGATTTGCGGAAAAGTACATCATCATAGTTACAATAAACACATATATGCAATCATATTATTT